CATTTAAGTTAGATCTGATTTTGTGGTGTTAAACAGCCCACTTTTTAACTGTGAGCAAAATGAAAATTAGCCTGAAGGATCACAAGAAGACATAGTTTTGAAACTTGTTTAAATGACATCCATAGAAGCGCTCAAGCCATCTCAAATCTCTTCTCATATTTTTTAAGCCTAATTGTTGTTTATGAGGCCCTTTGCGTATTTGTTTGGCTCTCTCCTCTCAGACGTGCCAGAGCACAACAAGGCGGTTGGGTCTCTCTCCATCTGCTAATGCTAAACATTCTGTCCCAACACATTTTAATTGTTCAACAATTAATTATTGCTAAATCTGTTTATTCTGTAATAATGTATTGGTAACATTTAATTGGTAGTTCATTTGTATGCTGTGTCAGTGTTTTCTACACCACTTTAAAATGTGAATTTGTGTTTGCATTCTGTATTGGATGTGATGCAACAGTATAATAATGTGTAATGCACTATACAAATCATGAACAAATTACTCTTATGAGCCGTTTCTTTTAGTGAACAGTAAAGACCAGTTATGAATAGTACAGTTTCTGGTTTGAATCAGCCTAAATCCTTCACAGAATTAATCTATCAGTGCAGTTAATTAATCAATATTTGACCCACATACTGAACAGCAAGTTATGTTATATTCAGTATTAAAGATACACATTTCCAACATATTTAATAGCAGAGCCCCTGTCCAACCTGTCAAAACATATATATATATATGTATATATAAATAAAACAAACAGCCTCCAGGGTTCTTAAGCAGGGGAGGAGGTTCAGGTTCAAGTGTCTGTGTCAGCAGCTCCTCTCACTCAAATGTTTCCTGAAGTGGAAGTGTGATAGAAAGCAAGACGAATCAGCTCAAACCATTTCAAGTTTAAGGAAGCAGGCATAATGGCCGAGAGGATCCACTCTCCCCTTGCAGTGATAAATAATGGCCTTGAATCTGGCAGAAGCGCAGAACTTGTGTTCAGAGGGCCTAAAACACTAATAAAGTATAACAGCAAGAACAAGCTCACTGTTCATTATTGACAACCATCTTTTGGAACACAGGAGGCGTCTAATTTAACCTTGTGGTTCACAAACAGGAGCAACATGTCATGTTTCTGTGTGGCTGTCTAATTCAACCCCTCGACGCTATCCTCACTGGGCTCTGGCAGCAGAGCATGCTGGATCGCCGAGGGCCAAACGCAGCCACTGGAGAAGCACTAAGCCTCAGTCCGCCTCCCAGTTTGTGATGGAGCAGATTGGTGGCTTAAGGGCCGCCATGCACTGCTGCTGGGTCTCTGCTGAAATGACAGAGCCAAAATGGTGAGCTCTTCTTCTGAGGCGCTAGTAATATTGTACATCGCTGCTGTAACACACAACGGTGTGAGAGATAAAGCGAACCTGAGTTTTTGTTGTTACTATGGTATTTTTTTCTTCTTCCTTCCCTGCGCTGCCAGGAAAAACAATTGGAAGCAGCACGGCATATACCATGATGGATCGTCCAGAAGATGCAGGATACTACATCTCTCAAGTGTGCCTGTGTTTGCTAGGGCCCCTGAGAATGTGCCGAGATGCAACCGCTAGCTCACTGTAGATAATGGAAAAAATCACATGTTCCTACTATTTTTCATCTAATACTATAAATCTGCACTGAAATTGCTTTTTTCGTTTTAGCCTGAGTCACTAGGTAACTCATAGTGCACATCCTCAAATAAAGAACTTTCCTTTTTATGCACTTCTCGCTGGAACCTTTCTTCACCTCGTGCCCTTGTTTCATTGAACTCTGAAGAACTGTGTATTTTCTTTTATTCCTTTTTTTGTTTGTTTGTTTTCCTGTTTTCAGTGTGGATCAGTGAGTCTAGTTTACTCTAGTTATGACTCAGTGATTTTCCGCTTTCAATGTGGTTTTGGGTTGGAGCTCGTCAGCTGCTAGTTTTGCTAGTTTTGCATAAACTCACAAACCACTAAGACCACCTCCTTTCATTAGGACTCTAAAACACTTTTTAAAAAGCTCAAATGCAAACCACAATTTGTAGAATGAATGAACGACTCAGTGTATGATTTGAGGTCAGGCGTCAAAGGAAAGGCTGTAACTGTTACTAGTCTGACGTTGCCACTAACCAGCCTCCATGCAGTTAAAACAAGATTGCTCAACCCTTTAAAATGGCTTTTTTTTTAAGTGAGTTTCCAGTCCCCAGGATTGGCTTTGCACATTAAAAGACAACATATCACAAGGTGGGATGATTTACCTCTGGTTTCGTCACTAACTTTATTGCCATCTCTATTTTTACCGTAGGAATGCATGCTGTGGCGATGACCCAGTAAATCTCACTGCTTGTAAGGGAGGTCAGCGTTGGCTGACAGCTTGAGATCTCTTATTACTTTTTTGTATGTGTTTTGACCTTTTCTCAACCTTGATGCTCCACAGTGCTGCAAATCTGCAAACTTCCAAAACCATATTCTGTGTATTTAGTGAGTTAAGCTCTTTAGTTTGTTCACAGGGGAAATTTTATGGAATTTAATTGTTTCCATTTGATGCTAAGCATTTTGTGCTTCTGTTTGTCTTTTATCTGAAAAGTTTACAAGACCTTTAGAGGTGAACCAGGGGTTGACCATAGTCATTCAGTTTGTAGTGTCCCAAAGAATCGGTTGCTTCCAAAATTAATTTGACAAAACTTGCTTCATTATTCGTCCCTGTTCCTTTATCAAACCACTAACACACTTTAAAATGTTACTCTATTCAGACTGAGTGTAAAACAAGATTACCAGAGTGTTTGTTTGTATATCATGGCCTCGTTCTGTATACGCAGTTCTATTGATAGTAACAAAACCTCCAGCTCACAGTATTTTCTTGGACCTTCTCGCAGTGCTAAAATGCCTCGGCGAGACTTAAAACAGCCAGCTTGCTCCCATATTCATGGAGATGCAACGGGATGTGGCTATTCACAGTCAGTAGCTTCTAGTGGTTCAACGGATCACAAATCTCACGGTTCGGATCACATTACAGTTTTTGACCCACGGATCGGATCATTTTTCGGATCAGCAAGAAAATAAAAATATTTCAATTTAACTTGCTGTTGTGTTTTGTTGTTTGATGATCATTAATGACAGCAGCAGTATTTATAGGCCGCTGTCCCTTTAAGACCTGATGCACGGATCAGATATAATGATACACATCACATCCGATTTCTTTCTCAGCTGTTTCATTCACTTGAGACATAACTGACTGCGTTTACCTGAATGATTGTCGAGATGGGTATTTTGTCATAATTTTATGTGTTTGTGTCTGTTCAGAGGATTCAGAAGAGGATTCAGTTCGGTGTTCAGTTCAGTTCTGAAACGTGTGTGCGCGCTTCATGTTTGTGCGGCTGTGCGCGTAGAGAACAGCGCGCGAGTAACGAATCGAGTTCCCTTTCGCCTTTTCTCTCTGGAATTGTTTAAAATTTCAAAATCACATGGATCCGCGGATCGCAATTAATCCGCCGAACCGTGGGGCTTGGTCCGTACGGATCACGGATCAACTACGATCCGTTTAACCACTAGTAGCTTCACACCAGCAGGAAGAAGGTGGCATCGCCAGTGTTTTAGAGGGGACACACCTGGTGTTTAGATGCGCAGCGGCTGTGATTGGTTTACTCTGGCCTGCCAATTCGGCTCTCGCAGAAGCCAGAACCACCGCTGGCCCTGAATATAATCCATCTGTCAGCACCTGTCAGCTGGCTCCCCTGCGCCCCTGTACCCACATGGCCGTGTTGACAGGGGGATTCAGCATACACATGGGTTACATCACTGAGGGCTACTCAACCGAATCCACTGCAGGTGTAAGCAGCCCCTCTTCGATAAATGTGGAATGTCAATGGCGTTCTTGAGCTAATGACAAAATGACTGACCTCATCATCTGGGAGTTGAACGCACATGATGGGTGCTTTTCTTGGGGCACAGTCCGAAACGGTGACCGCTGAGGTTAGTGACAAGCAGGAAACTGAGGAGCTGCCAACGATTGACTGAACATCATGGCACTGAACACTACAGCCATTACAGAAAGAAAGTAATTTGATCCACAAATCAGCAGATGGGTACAGGTTTATAGTGGCGCACAGCTTTATGGCCTTATATTTCAGGGCTTGGAAGGAGGACGTCACTGCCGTTTTGACATTGTGGGTAGCTTTTGACAATGGACAGCACACTCATGCTTCTTAGCCCTCAAGGGCCTTGTTGGCTAGAAGATGGAATTTCACCTTAGTCAACATAAAGGGCATGAATGGCACAACTATGTTCTGATTTGATTAGAAGTGTGGATTTCTTCACATTTGTCTATACTTCACTTGAACAGATCAGTGAAGTTCTTTGGGGCCGTTCACATAGAACGCATTTTGCCATTTCAATGCGCTACTTTTACATTGGTTTTCTATGTAAACGTGCTAGATGAACGTGTATGACCGTTGCACTCACATCATGTGTCTCCCACATGAGCGCCACATTTTTAAGACACCATGTCAAGTTAAAAGAATTTAAACTTTTACATGCAGCGTCATTCAACAATGTCAGTTCCAAAACAGTGGACCAATTAGAAGACCCTGGAGGCGGAGCAAGCATTGCTTTTGTTTACAGTAGCAAGTTGGAATGGCAACTGTTTTATTTGATGGCAACATGCAGGAGGAGACATTCTGCACTGTGCTTTTTTAAAAAAAAATTTCAACACGTTCTGTGTGAACGGCTCCTTAGCATTAAATGTAGGGATGCTCCTATCAGGATTTTTGCAGCCGATACTGAGTACCGATTTCTTGTCATGGCGATCGGCCGATACCGATGCCGATTCTGATGCTTCAAGCTTTAGACGGTTTCATCGGGTGCACAGCTGATGATAATCCGCGGGTCGAGTAATAAAAATGCATTCTGATTATTTGCGGGTGGATCGCGGGTGGATAAAATAAATCATAAATGATGCAAATATTAACTACATTTTTTTTAAATAAATTTTTTTCATGAGGCAGACGATTTCGTGTGTGTGTGTGTGTGTG